TGACATGACATGACATGACACAACGTGACATGACGTGACATGACGTGACGTTTCTACAGGAGGAGGAAATGATCCTGTGACACGACGTGACATGACGTGACATGACGTGACGTTTCTACAGGAGGAGGAAATGATCCTGTGACACGACGTGACATGACGTGACATGACGTGACGTTTCTACAGGAGGAGGAAATGATCCTGTGACACGACGTGACATGACGTGACATGACGTGACGTTTCTACAGGAGGAGGAAATGATCCTGTGACATGACGTGACATGACGTGACATGACGTGACGTTTCTACAGGGAGGAAATGTTGAGGATTTATTCTCTGTGTTTTAAACTCTACATTTCTTCAATTTTCAGAATATTTTGAATAAATGGGCCTATAAAAAAGAAATGGTTTACCTTCACCCTGAAGGTCAGACCGTGCAGTCAGCTGCAGGTCAGAGGTCAGGACCTGCTCTGTAAACCCTCAGAAATAAACGGCGCTCTGCACTCAGCTGTGAAATTCTTCGTCAGTTTATTTGCTTCAAAAGTTTCAGAACCAAAAATAATTTAGAGTTTTATTTTGAAAAGCAGCAGCCTGTTGTTTAGTGAGGTCTGGACTTCCTGTGGGCGGTCCCTCTGGCGTCAGCGTGCGTTCAGTACGGCCTGCAGGTCGGCGGGCAGCGAGCCCACCACGGAGGTGATGAAAAGGTCTAGTCGGTCTAAGACTCCGCCCCTCACCTGCAGCTGCTGGCGGCGAGCTTTGATCTGAAAGGAAATGCCGTCACCACCTGATGGAGGAKTTTATGATAAGCCCCGCCCCCACGGTCTTCTCACCAGCTTCTCTCGGAGCTTCAGGATCAGGTCCACGATCTCCACTTCAGACTTGTCTTTGGTCCAGCCCAGCAGATCCTGCAGAAGACAGGGGGACACTCAGAGGACCAACAGGTGTGTCTGAGACAGAACCAGGTGTTGTGGGAGGGGGAGGGGCCACTCACGGCGTCACAGATCATCTCCAGGTGGAGGCTGTCCAGTTTCTGGGTCATCTCTCTGTGGCGCTGACGATACCAGCCGTCAAAGTTAGGAGACCTGAAGAACTTCCTGAGACCAGAGGACAGTGTCCTCACCTTTAGTTCCTGCTCACACAGGTGAACGAGCCTCTGCACCTGCCTGACTCACCTGTACAGACCCATCCAGTCCCCTCGCTGCAGGGAGGTGAGCTGAGGCCCGGCGTGCTCCAGAGTGGACAGGAAGTGGTCCTGACTGAAGGGACGGATCTGAGGAGGAGTCTGAACACAAAGACCTTCAGGCTGGTCCAACCCTCAGGCGGACAGAAGAACTACTTCCTGTTTACCTTCCAGGGYGTCACAGACCTCTGCAGGGGCATCAGGCTGGCCATGTAGCGCTCCTGTCAGACAACACACAGGGCTTACTGCTCCAGCAGCCTCTGATCACCTGAACTCACCTGAGCTGAAGGCTCCTGCTCACCAGAGGGATGATGAAGCTCTGCGTCAGCTCCAACAGGTGTCTCCTCAGGATGGCACTCTGGACCTCCGAGGGTCTCCTCCTCTGGATCCCCTGAGGACAAACCACAGACAAGCTGAGCAGCTACTTCCTGTTCCTCCACAGGTGACCTTACCTGCACATCAGCTCACCTTTAACAGCCTCTTGATCAGAATCTTGTCTTTGTGTAGAAACGTCTTGTAGGCCGTGTAGATCCCTGCAGACAGACAGACAGACAGACAGGAAGTCCTGCTGTAGACAGACAGACAGACAGGAAGTCCTGCTGCAGGCAGACAGACAGACAGGAAGTCCTGCTGCAGGCAGACAGACAGACAGG